CCGTTCTCGTGGGTTTCAAATTGACTCCATTACATACACCTGATCAAGCTTTGTTTACTTGCTGCACCTCCCGCAGCCTGTATCACTGAGCCACGTGGGACCACAGGTTCGGACCAAAAGGTCAAGCTTACAACTATAGCCTTGGCTATCATTGTGCTGGGACTTGCACGTGGCTTTGCCAGGAGAGGATCGTGCCCTCTCATTAGTCCCAGACTTGAACCTGTCCAAACGCCGCTCTCCATACGTGACCAATGATCTTTTGGCAAGAGCCTCCAGCTCCCCAGCACAGGGCTCTCTCTTAGGGTCCAGTTGCCTCTGCTCCCCCAGCTTCAGCAAGCCCTGCACCCCAGTGAGAAGCATAAAGAGCACGCTGCATTTAAGAAACCGAGAGAAAACAGTTGGGAGGTTATTACAGTACGTCAGGGGGTGGATTAGTTTCCTGGGGCTCCTTAGTAACTCAGCACAAACTTGCTGGCATAAAACAATGCACATTTATTCTCTCAGTTCTGGAGGCCAAACGTCCAAAATCAAGATGTCAGCCAGACCACACCTGCCCCAAAGGCTCCAGGGGAGAATCCTTCCCTTGCCTCCTCCAGATTCTGTTGGCATCAGGCATTCTTGGGCTTCCTTGTGTGTGGCCACATCACTCCAATCTCCGATTCCATCTTCACATCACTTCCTGCTCTGTGGGTCTGTCTTCTCCTCTTCAGTCAAATATCCCATGTGTGCCTCTCACGGGGCACTTGTCACTGGATTCAGAGCCCACACAGATAATCCAGAATGACCTCCTCCTCTCAAGATGCTTAGTTACATCTGCAAAGACCTTTCCCCCCAAATAAGGTCACAGTCATAGGTTCTGGGAACTAGTACATAGAATTGTCTTTTGGGGGCCACCATTTAACTCACTACAGGGAGTTGATCAGAATTTGGGAGATTATGTAATAATCAAATATTTGAAATGTTTAAAATAATTTGAAATAATAAACACGATGGAATAAGCTGTGTGTGTGTGTGTGTGTGTGTGTGTGTGTGTGTCTGTCTGTCTTTTTAGAACTGCCCTGCTTGATCCAATCTTCCTTCATTTTTGGTGAATACCTTTGAGAAGCCTTTCCAAGATGGGTAGGTCTGATTAATTACCAGGCCTTTATTTTGCTGAATGTGGTATTTTAGAGCCAGAGTTAAATTGACCAAGACATTAGAAGGCCCTAGAAAGCCATATGGGGAAAGGGTGGAGAGAAAGGCAGGGAGCCAGGTGACAGCTGAAGAGAATCTAGGTTATGAAATGGATTCATTCCTTCAGTGAATATTTATCTCAAGAAGCCTAAGCAAGCCCAGCTGGGTGAGAGGTAGTGGGGATATGATGGGTGGACAAACATGACCCCTACTCTCAAGTGCAGGAGTCTCTTTCCCTGTGATGTTTCCACCACCCGTCCCCAATCTTCAGCAAAATCTACACTGCTTTCTCCTGCTCTGCACATGAGTTTGAGTGAAGAGATGGGAGGAAACGCTATCTTGTTCCCGGGATGGAATGAGGCAAAGCCAGAAGCTCCTCCAGGAAGCCATGCATGTGGTTCATGTGTGCTAAAGGGGGCCAGCAAAGGTGGTACAGACATTCAGCATCTACTGCCCACTTCTTAGGAAACAAGAGCACTTTGATTTGCTTTTGGAAAAAAATTACCTCTTCTCCATTCCAGGCAGTGTTAATCGGACTGTCATTTTCCCTGAATTCCTGGCCAAGGGGAAGCACACAGTCCAAGCTAGGCCAGCAAGACTGGGAGTTGAATCCTAATAGGAAAGATGGAAACACAAACTCAAGATAGAGCTGCCAGCCAACGGATGGGGTAAGATCCATTCCTGCCACCTGAACCTGTGGGGCCCTTTCCATGTCAGCTTTTTCAGTAGATCCTGTGAATCTATGAGGTGTTCTATTTACTTCCAATAAAGTTCCTTTGGATGAAGTTAACCAGAGTCCTTTTGGGGTACCAGCAATCAAAGAACACTAACTGATGGCAGGGATCAGGAAAGTTAAAACCCTTCCCTCCAGGTGACAAGGGCCTGCTGTGGGGACAGCCACATCTTACATCCTCAGAGCCAGGTTTACTGCTCTTCTCTCCAACAGTTACCATCAACATCCTCATGTCCCTTAGGCTAACCATGACTGCCCTTAATTAACAGGGACACTCACCATGTCAGCACCAGCCCTCAGGAAAAGGCCAGCACACTGGCAGAGAGAAGAGAAGGATCAAATTCATCTGGGTCAGCGTAAGGCATCAAGGGACAAATCGAGCTTAGTGGACAGTTCCTAAGGGATCCTTAAGCCTTATACCTAAATTCAATTCTGCATGCCCTGTGGGTCACTCTGACTTGGCAGAGGTTTCTCCTTTCTCAGTGCATATGCATTTGGGCAGGCCAGAGGGGAATTGGCTGGGGGAGAAAAATGCACACCTTCAGTTACTCTTCCCAATTGTTCCTGCTGCCTTTAGTCTTCACAGAGTCTCCTTTGCCCAAATCACCCTAAGTATTCATACCCATGCTCAGATAAGTATCCACTATAAGACAGAAGTTGTTTAACTGCTTTTTAAAAGGTATCTCAATTTTGAATCCATTCTTGCTAACAACTCCAGCCTCCTCTGATACCTTCCTTCAGGAGACTAGGATTCCCCTGTATAAGCAACAAAAAACCCTTTGGAGCTCCTGGGAGACCAGGCTATTAGCTCTCGCCCTAAGAAGGCCAAGTTCCTCCTCAGCCCATTACCCAGTCCAACTTTCAGGTGAGTGCCACAAACAGAGAAGCACCTGGACGAGGCAGGCACTGCACTAAGTACTATGCCTACAACCGTGGTAAGGTGTGCTGACAGCCACAGGAGAGACATCCAACATATGACTATGGGTGTGATGACATCATAAAGCAGAGACGGTGCCAGCAGACCACCTGGGAGACATTCTACCTCTCCTTCAGATCTACAGAGACCTCTCCTTGATACAATGGTGTTTAAGCTCAAAGGACCTGGAGGATGGGGACAGAGTGATCAGCATCAATTGAGAATTTTCTCTTTCACTAGGGCAGCGCTCGGCAAACTCATTAGTCACCAGAGGCAAATATCCACAGTACGACTATGGAAATTTCTTTTGAGAGCCAAATTTTTTTAAACCTAAACTTCGCCCAGGCCGTGGTATTTTGTGGAAGAGCCACACACAAGAGGCCAAAGAGCCGCATGCGACTCCCAAGCTGCAGTTTGCCGACCACAGCACTATGGCCTTCTCCAAAGCTGTCTCCCATTCAGGAAGAAATCATGTTCTAAAAGCCCACTTTCAAATTCACAGGTTTAGCATTCACTATTTCTCTGCAGAAACACACACATAGTGGCTAGGTTTGCCAGCTGGTCCACCAGCACCCAATTATTTATAATGTGTTGCACCAACAATACCTATAAATAGCATTATTTAACCAGTCTTGTTTCTATGGGAAACTTCTATCGAGACCTGATGTCCAATGGAAACCCCTGCACATAAGCCCTCCTCTTCATTAAGTCTCAGCAATTCTCTCCTGGAGGCCTCTTCAATCCAGCCCTGCCCGCAATCCCACTGCTTGATTTAATCAAACCTTATACCTGCACTTAACCTTATGCCTGGCACAAGCAACCACTGAGAATTCAGTCACCTGGTCTGCAATTCCTCCTCTCCGCAGCTGTCTCACGCAATGTTCCAAAACATCTCGCTTCATCCAACTAAAAGCCAGGGATGAATCCTCCAACATGTGGACAGAAGTACTGCTATGTCACTATAATAGCAACAAGTACTGGACACTCCTAAATGCCCAAGAGATGGCTGTTTACAGAAATTATGTGGTATCTCAAAGAGGGAGCAGAGGAGACATACAGAAACTTATGACAGACAACCATCAAGTTTTACATTTTAATTTACAATTTTTTAACCAATAAAAACGGTTACAAAAAGGGAATTTTCTACACAAAATAAGGATTTTTTCCCATTCATAAAGAGAATCCACTGTCATAGCTTGCCTAGCCGAATCAATCTCAAAGAGCTTGCTTAGCTAAAATTATTTCCAGTAGATAGGTAATCCAAGTAAGATTAATAAAATTATCAGCTCCTTACACACATTTAAGAAGACGAATTTGAGGAACATTTTGCCTTGATCTGAAGAATTCTGTAACAACCTTTAGAAATACCTCTGCTCTCAGCAGTCGCACTGCTAAGAGGGCATGTGAGTCTCCAACTCACTGCCCATGAGTCCCTCCTGACAGCGATTCCCACTCCTGCACAGAGGGCACATGCAACATAACAGGAAAATGGCTTCTACACTTCACCAGTGCCCTTTATTGTGGCCAAGGTCAGCAGCAGAACATCTGACAGTTAAGGTTCACATTCCGCCCTCTCTTCTACTTTACCATATAAATTAAGTCTGGAGAAATACATACAAACTTGATTAAAAAGCTGTTTTCAAACCCCACTTCCTCGAATAACACATCACAGTTTAAGAGTGGAGTGAAGTCTAGCCATCCTGTTAGCGCAGTTTCCCAAAATTAACCTGATCGAAATGTCCGAAGCCTTTAAAAAAGTTGTCTGAAGTATGGCAGCCACTCTACACTGTTCCTAGCCGTCTGCTTCCGGAATAAAAACATCAAATAGGAAACTGTGAGGAACAGGTTTAAAACCCTTTATTCAGTGACAGGCCTAGCTCTGATGGAAAATCCCACCTATTAGCAGAAAATGTATTTATGTTGCTCTGATGTACATTTGTGAATCAATATGATAAAGAGCCTCAATCACAATGATTCTAAAGCCATTACAACCCAAAATGATGTGACTCATATTTGCTTGCGTTAGCTCTTAAAATATGATCTTCATACAGAGGAGCTACACCCTCCTCACAATTAACTGACGTATGTGGCCATAAAAGGGGGAAGAGGCCAAAAAATGACGTCTTAAAAAGGACACAAGATTTTCCCACCACTCTACTTAGTAAACATATAGCTAGAATGAGAATGAAATGGAATCAGCACCCAGAGGCCTCTCAAAGACAGCATCTCCCGGTGAAGTGTGACATGGAATTTTCTAGCACAATACAACCCAGATACTCTGGATTCACACACAGCCAGGATGCCTCACCCATCAGATGCAAAGTGATTATCCCACCACAGTTTAAAAGTAGCCCCTGTGGCCCTGGCCGGCCTGGCTCAGTGGATAGAGCATCAGCCTGCAGACTGAAGGGTCCCAGGTTCGATTCCAGCCAAGGGCACATGCCTGGGTTGCGGGCTGGATCCCCAGTAGGAGGGCGTGCAGGAGGCAGCCAATCAATGATTCTCTCTCATCATTGATGTTTCTAACTCTCTCCTTCTCTCTTATTCCTTTAATCAATAAAGAAATATATATTTTTTAAAACACACACACACACACACACACACACACAAAAAAAAAAGCCTAGCCCCTGTATAAGACGCAACTCCACTATAGCTGTGGTTACTTAGGAAAAAAGTGCCTAGCAACACCTTCATGCCTTATTGATACCAATCTGCAGCCCTCATGACCCAGCGGTGCTTTTTATCATCAAAACATCTGAAGAGCTGGCAAGTGGCAGCAACTGATACCAGGTCACAGGACTGCAAAGCTGAGAAAAAGCTCTTTGGTCCCCTGTTCGTCGTCTCCACTACCGTTACACTCTGTCCCCAAGGGGGAAGAATGGTCTAAACAAGGTTTCCGTGACCAAGCCTTGGCAAAAGTCAATAAATAAGAGAGCTTGTCAAAGGCAGAACCATTTTATGGGCAACTCCTCTAGCTGCAAATATGGGGGTGGAAAAAGGAAAAGGGAGGCATGTGTAAGAAAGAGGTAAGAGTCCCTTTGACAAGCATTTGGTGGCCAATCACAGATGCCCAGGTTGGTGACAGCAGACCAGGACCTAGCAAAACCCATCATTCTGATGGAAAAGGAAGAGGAGACAACAAACACCATAGTCATTTCTGAAATTTGCACAGTTGACGTTTGTTCTTCATAGCAGAAAGGACTTGAATGAGAATCACGAAACTTGAGGAACACTTATATTTTCTTCAGGATTTAAAAAATGGTGTCTTGTACGGAGACTACATTCAGTGTGGGTCAGGTCCACCAGTGTTTGCTGGGAAGCAGTTGCTGAGCACACCCAGCACTGGGAGGAAAACGTCATCTGAGCAGAGTGGCTGGTGGGCAGGCTGGAGGCCACTCCTTCACTGGTCCCCAAGTCGGAAGCCCTGTCCCCAATTGTGTCTGCCGCCTCCACCATTCTGATCAGCTGCTCGCCTCACGCTAGCAGGGGGCATGCCGAATCCGGACACCCCTCCTCTCCTGCTGGGCAGCCAGCGGTATCTGGAGCAAGGCGGGAACAGAGGGAGAGAAGACAACAAAGTCACTTCCGCAGGGCTGTCAGGCCATCTAGCACCGGCTCCTTTTCCCGGTCCCCCAGCTGTCACACTGAATTGCATTAGGCTGTGGCCAATGGAAGGCTGAGTTCAATGTCTTACTAACTTGCCTTCTCAGCACTTAGCTCAATGCCCTGACCAGAGAAAGCACTCACTTTCAGGCTTCGTAAATTTACTAAGTTTTCGGCTAAATTTACACTCTAAAAAATTTTTTTTCTCTGATTAGCAAAATAATTCATGCAGAACAGTGCAAAAACAAAGATATCACTCCCACAAGCCCGGTCACCAGAAAAAAAACACCTATTATGCAGCGTTTTTGCATTTTGATAATATGCATTGGATCAAAGGGTACAAAATAAATTTACTTTCCAAGGACAAATGGTAGCCTGTGTTCAGCCCCACACAGTATCCCTGGGGGCACTGGAGAAGGCAGCGTTGCCTCCTGGAGGTATGCGTATATTTTTAAAGTTTACTTGTCACTTGCCCTCCAACTGCATCCATTTCATAGGTAGTGGGAAACCAGCCCAAAGAGGATAGCTGGTTTGTCACCTTATAGTTTCATAAATTAAGTCACAGAATAGCTAAGAAATTTAAATAAAAGTACAGGTTCTCAGTTTTTCCAAAGATTTCCCTTCCTTGACTAGTAGGAAACGAAGACTATGTTTACACTTATTCCACTCACTAGATTCTCAGTTTAAAGTTCTGCTTGAAGAAGCCCGTGTATGATACCTGTTTAAACCGTGAGGGGTGACTTGCCCGCAGAGCACAACCTTATCATACAGTGTTTCCCTTACACCAGGTACCACATGTTAGTAAATTCATCTCACCTTCACAGCCCTAGGAGGTAGGCACTACTCTGACCCCATTTCATAAACGGGAAAACTGAGGCAAGACTGAGTAAAGCTCTTCTAAATCGACAGTCAGGATTCAAACGCAGGCAGCTTGGCTCTGGGGCCTCTACCCTGCACCACCCAATATACCCCAGGCTGCAACGGGACACACAGGTGGATCTAGTGACAGCAGTTAGGGACTGCAGCCGTCACTTATGTGCCTTCATGCTCCCTCCCAAAAAGACAATGGGCCCCTTTTAAGCAGAAAAATAACTGCATGCAGCAGAGAAGAGAGTCTGCCTACTTTTCTAGATGGAATGCAGAATGGTGATGCATCTTAGAATTCTATAACTCCCATCTTCCCCTTTCAACGAATACAGCTCTAGCTTTAAATCAAAATGCATTTCCAAGCACTGTTTCTTGATATCCATGATGTTCTGGTATGATAATGCTCCTTCACAGTGCATAATAAAATAGAAAACTTAAAACAGGCAGTGCTCAGGCCGTTTTGCTTTGGTTCTTATTGTAAGACAATATGGAAGCCATCCCCATTGCTTAAACAGACAGTGAAATTAAATGCAAGCAATTAGTATAAAAAGACACCCAATTATGCATAATCAACAAAAAGTTATGGTAATTTCAAAGCAGTTCCTGTTTTTGCAAGGAGCTACATTTTGTCATCTGATCTTTATGCAAAACTTAACAGAAGGGCTTCCACCAGCAGAGAGCTCAAATGCAAGTCAGGCTCCACGTGCTGCCGTTTCTGCCACAGAATCTCCTCTACTCTGTTGCCCGCAATTGAGAAGTGTCTCCAAGCCTTGGCGTTAGAATATGACCATTTAAAGTATAGTAGCTGTTGGCTGTTCCCCAAAGCACTACGTTTTTATTTTAATGGATGCATCTGCCATCTGACTTGACAGACCTAGATCAAAATTCCAAGCCTGCTGTTATTGTGTGTCCTTTGATAATTAGAAAGCAGATTGGTCATTTGTTTTTTAGCCTGGAGGCAACTCAAGACTCAGAAGAAAAACAAATTTCTTTTTATGCTCTTAAAGGAGAAAACAAACAAAAAACACAATAATGTACTTCTCTGTATATTATATTTATAATAAAATTCCTTTAAAAACCTATCCCTAATCTATAAAAGAATTTTAAGAATTACAAATTATAAAACATTAAAACATGCACGATGTGAAAAGGGCTGGTGTGTGAATTTTTTAAGCTTTTTAAGTGCAAGCTATTACTGCATATCCCAACTGGAGATAGGGCGTGACTGCCAGACAGTCTTTTGCTTCACAGATACAACGGTCATACTACTTACGTTGTAGCTTGAGTGTGTCAGCATCTCTCCCGCCCTACATCCCAACGTCAGGAACAGGCCCAGAACCTGTATTTGCTGAGGCTCCACTACTGTGCTGCCAACTGTCCTGTGAGCTAGGGCTCCCCTCAGCTGACTGACTGGCAAACGGAAGCTCCGTGGTTCGACCAAGTTTCCAATATCAAAACTGGTCTGTCTCAAAGCCAGAGCTGTGTCCTCGGCCTCCTCACTTGGTAAACCCTAAAACAGAGGACTATACAAACTCGTCTGTCATTTTAATTCTGAGAAGTTCCATAAATAATAAAATCTGTAATATTTCATAGAAAACTATGACCTTACTATAACCAGTGACCTTACTAACCATCACCCATCCTCACCCAAACTCTTGGGAGAAACTGACAGCCTATCCTCCTGGCCCCGCGGCTGCGCACACAGGCGCTGCCCATAGCTCCCTGTGGTGCTGGCTCTGGTCTCCGTGGCCCCTGGCTAAGGGTCTGTGAAGAAGACTGAGCTGTGGCTTTCATTCCTGGCTCCCTGACTCTGTGACCAGGGCAACTCATTTGTTGGCTCACATTTTCCCATCAGACAGAGAGGTAAATCCTATTCTCCTCGAGTTTTTATCAGGATACGTCAGAACACAGACAGTAAAATGATTGTTAAACAAGAGAGAGGGAAAAGACACTTACAAAAACTGGGGTGTGGACAGAAAATTTCTTCCTCCTAAGTCCATTGGGTATCTGAACATGAGGAAGAAATAAAGATGTCCAACCAGATTTCCAATGAGCTCATTGATAACCCTGCAAACAGAGAGACAAATTAGTTTAAAGACATTCAAGCAGTGACGTGAGAAGCAGTGAGTTTTAACTAACAGCACAGGGAGGAGATCCTCCTGGCAGCCCACTGTGTTCCCTGGGACAGGTGACAGCTTGACAGTGAGCTGTAGACCGAGTGGCAAACGCATCCAGAGGGAGAAGAGAAGCCAGGCCTGCTGGACCAATGGGGTCTGTGCTCCTCAAGGCCAGCTGCCCCTTTAACATCTCTTTCAAGTCCCAGCCCATCCTCAAAATATTGTTTCTGCTACTTCCTGCCTTAAGAGTAGGGGAAGCTGCAAACTCCCAAAATCTTCCAAATATGAATACTGTATTGCAAAACATGGTGAACAATGAAGACCAGCAAGAAAGAAGAATGGGGAGCGAGGAAAGGAGTACACCTGCTCCCCATTCCTGGGGCCAGTGAGCACTCGCCCTCGCTTCCCGTATGCTGGTGTAAGCCATCACGGAGATCACTTTGGAAATGTAATCTTCACCTTGTAATCCTAAAATAAGCATTGGCCTTCTTCAGTTCCCCCATGGCTTACACAGAGGCCACTGCAAGGTTTTATAGATCCACTCGTACTATTGCATATCTTTCTGTCTTCACTGCAACATGATTCTGGCAGGGACAAACCAGCACGTGCAACTGCTCCCAGCTCTGTCCTTCTGGGGAGCAGGGTGGCTTTACCAAGCTCATAAGTAGCTGCTCTCTAAACAGTCTGCTTGCTTGACTCATTCACTTCTCCCTATCAGTATGCAGCAGAAGTTAGGACCACACAGAGCAAATATGTCAAACATGCTAGGGACTAGTATAGTACTATTAGAATCAATTGGAACATTAAAAATATGTTGTAGTGTAAGAAATGGAGTTCTCAGAATAGCTGCCTGGTGATATCCTCTTCCTTAGGTTTTCCTAAGTCTTCATCCTAAATCCAGACTAGAAATTTGATCCTGTTTGGTCAAAACTTCTCTACTCTTTACCCAGTTACTTCCCATCTGAGAATATGCATTTCTATGACTGGGGAGCCATTTCCAAGGCATTAACACTAAAGAACACAGTTACTGTAGGCATAGCTCTTAGAGTAGTCAGTTCAGACACAAATTAGATCTGTTTGCTCAATCTGGATAGTGAATCCAGAAATGAATATTTATTCAAAAACATATATGGAAGCCTACTGTCATAAAGAACTAACAACAAAAAACAATCACTCAACGCTAAAATGTACTTAAAGCCCTACAGCTTAATCAATTACATCAAAATAAAATTAGTCTGTAAGACAAGGTTCCAATGCATCAATGTTGAGATTCTTTAAAGTTTCATAAAATTAGAGAAGGAAGATAAAAAAGAATGGAAGTCATCCAAGGATTAGTTTCCAATTAAATAAATCTAACAGGGAACACTATTTGGCTTTCTGCCTGAATCAGTGCTTTCCAAATAGCTTTTCTTTTGAATTCAAATAAATGCTTGTTGCCTCTCAAAAAATAAATAAATAAATAAATAAACAAATAAATAAATAAATCTACTATCACTTACGAGCCTCCAATGATATAGTTGAATCCAAGGATAACCCAAGGTAAATAACAGGCCTAGAAAAGAATAGATACACATGTGAGTAACCACACTTAAAGGGGATACAGAGTGGGCAGGAATAAGAATGTTCTGACAAGGGCTTTAATGAATCCTTTGAAAAGTCATACCCAAAATTTCTCAGATCAGTCTAGCATCATTCCTATTATACTTAAAACTTCCTTTCTAAAATTATACTTATTCCTAGATCAGTTACTGGAGAGACAGTACTCCTTGCTGATAGTTTCAAATGCAATATAATCAGATTAATATTGTCATCCAGAAAGTAGGTGAGTGTCCTATGCTATTAAAAGCATGGTCTGGCCGGGACTGGTTTGGCTCAATGGATAGAGCGTCGGCTTGGGGACTGAAGGGTCCCAGGTTCGATTCCGGTCAAGGGCATGTACCTTGGTTGCGGGCATATTCCCAGTAGGGGGTGTGCAAGAGGCAGCTGATCGATGACTCTCTCTCATCGATGTTTCTAACCCTCTATCTCTCTCCCTTCCTCTCTGTATAAAAAATCAATAAAATATATTTTAAAAAGCATGGTCTGGCCGAAACCGGTTTGGCTCAGTGGTAGAGCATTGGTCTGCATAGAGCAAAGGTCCCTGGTTTGATTCCGGTCAAGGGTGTGTACATTGGTTGCGGGCACATCCCCAGTAGGGGGTGTGCAAGAGGCAGCTGGTCGATGTTTCTCTCTCATTGAAGTTTCTAGCTCTCTATCCCTCTCTCCTCCTCTGTAAAAAATCAATAAAATATATATTAAAAAAAAAAAAAAGCATGGTCTGTAATAGAATCTCATCATGACTCCAACCAGCATATTGTTACCAATAAATTTAAAATACATCTTTTGTGGTTCTCCTTTTGCATATTTCACAAAATTAGTTGAATTTTTACCTCTCTATACATTGATATCTTGACCTAATTCTCTCCCAAATAAGACAACTCTCCAGATAAATTGAACACTTGAGCTCCTTATAAGAATCAAGACATCATACCAAGAGTTAAGGGACTTTACAAACCAGTAAAGAAAGGGTTATACCTAGATAATGTGAAAGCAGAACATGGTAATTACTGTAAGAGAAACACAAAACATTACAGAAGCCCAAAGGCACAACTAATTCCAGGCAGGTGACTCAGGAAATAAGTATGTTCAGTTAAGAACAAATAGGATTTAAAGGAGTAAGATAATTTTAAAAATGTTACAGGTGGAAAATTGTGAGAGAAAGCACAAAAGTAAGTGTTTAAGGGCAAACAAAAACAAATTTTTTCCAAAGTATAAAATATATAACAGGGAATGATAAAAACACACTTTAAAAGAGAGCGTTTCATATGAGTATCTTTCTTCCCTCTTACTGCCACATACACACAGGAGATCTCTAGGGACACATGGCTGAGGAACCTGAGGTACTGAGGGAGTGAGAAGTGGTAATCAGCACAGGACTCTGGGTTGGCTGAGGAAACAGGGGGACTGAGAAGGCAAGAAGGGGCTTGCCTATATACACTGCTCTGCACTGACCTCTTCTGGATGAATCAGAAAGTACATCTCTGGGCTGAAGAGGGATTTCTATAGACAAATGAAAAGGAAATTTTCCCAACGAGGCTACAAACCTTAAATCGTGTTCCGAACCAAAATGACACAATCATGTCTCTGTTCAGCTGGGCCCAGACATAGAGCACTGACATGATCAGAGGAATCATCAGCAACTGCAAAATAATCAACATGTAAGGACCAGGCCCAGGGGCCCTAAAAAGAGGCTTAGTATGAATCTACCTTTTCACCTCCCCCCTCCAAACAAACCTTTAGATGGACACTCAAAAAGCAAAAAGAACTTCTACTCATCAAAACTGTAAGTAGATCCTTCTAATGAATCATAAACATATGCTACAAAGTCCTATAATAAAATATAGCAATTATATTATTTTAGACAGATTCAGAAGTATCAGGGCCAAAAGTAGGCATAAAGCTTTACTAACTGTATATTCTAAATTTTTATAAAATGTAAGCCATTTTATAAAATGACTTAGCTAATTTTTATAAAATGTATATCCTTTATGTGCTTAAAAAAATACTGGATAGCCCACCATTCTCAATGTTCAAACATGATAAAAGAGCCAGAAGTGAGTGAGAAAAGTAATGGCTTAGCTAACTCATGTAGGATGTTCAAAATAAAAATAACTATAATTCTATTATTTCAAAATATCGCATAATTAACCACATAGATAATGCAATTTCAGCTTCTGTCAAAGGCCTTTAATTGTATATCTGAAACATACAAAAGGACAAATGGAGAGTTGAAACTTACCTGCATGTCCATTGCTAAGCCAGTAATCTTGGTTTGTAACGTTAAAGATCAAAGAAAGCATTCTGCACCCAGTAAAAGTTCATTTCCTTCCAGTGTTCTGAAGGAACACACTTTTCTATACTTCAGGTGGCTTAAAACATCCAGAGCACAAAGGTGTCTAATAATCTTTGTTCCGAATATTCTATCAGTCTATATGATGACAAGGAGATGGTGGAAATTACCTGCTTTGGCATGTGACTCAGTTTGGTCACCTCTGCCTCTTCCCCTCACCTCGCCTCTGCACTTTAGCATTGCTCCTTTAAATAGAGGATGGAGATGCCTGTGCCCTCTGAGACAAATAATGATTCTACATGTTCAGGGCTCCACAGTGTGGCTGAAGTCCAAGATATTTTTTCTTCCCTTCAAGGAGGGAAAAGGGCATCCGAAGTGCCACATTTTCTGGCTCTTGGCCATGCGTCAATGGAAGCCAAGCCCCAAAGCAAGGACTTGAGCCACTAAGTCCCCTCTGCGTCTCTCGCCATCTGTGAAGGTCTGCCGCTGGAGGGCTGCTGACAACTGTGGTTGAAACACAGCGGAGACACATGCGTGTCGTTGCCCAGGGTATTTATGGAGGGACTGCATCACTACTTAGGACCCCAAGACAAGGAAAGCAAAGAGGTCAGAAAAGAATGCCGGTTGTAAATTAATTTTCTGATCAGGACCACAGATTTCAAAAGCTGTCTTAGGGCCCAGGGCCTCTTTGTGCGCAAGCAACAAGCTGTCACACATGAGACACAGAGAACTAGGATCAAGAAGAGGAAACAATAATAAAACACAACCAAATGTGGGCAAATCCCACAGAGACAATGGCAAGAGAATGCATCACTCAGGGCTCTATGATTTACTACAGCATTTAAAAAGAACTTCAATGACTCTTATTAACTGCAGTAAACAAAGATGCAAATACAGTCATTTGAAGTATACAGTCATTTGAAGTATCTCACCGAACACTGTTTTCCCAAACCTGAAAAAAAAACAAAACAAAACAAAAAAAAACACACACATACACACACAGAAAAACTGGTTTCTTTTGGGCCCAAAATAATAGACTGAAGGATACAACGATGCAAATCCAGTTGAAGAGGAGCATGAATAAATAGTCCGCTGGCCTCCCATCAAAGGCTCCTAGAAACAAAAATAAGCCAAATGTCATGGTTCAGAAATTCAGAAAACAAATCACTTCTATGTAGAGAAGTGCTTTAAACATCATAGAAGCCAAAATGAGAATATTTTAAAATCAGTTCTCTCAATAAAATTTTTAAAACTATCTAAATCCATGTCGCAATAAAGCCCTAAAATAGTCACCTAGGAAGGCTGACCTGAGTTTCCCAATACGTACCATGCTCTGATGGCCTCAGACTAAGAGACCCAAAGAGAGGACTCGATTCCAGAGATGCCCAGACGCCATCACGGCCCGTCAGGCTTTCTTTCATGGCTCATCATGACCCCAGGACACATTTGTTGTACTTGGTTAATCCCTTCTCCCTGCATTAGACCGTAAGCTCTGTCTGTCAGGGGAGGAACAATATCTGTCTTGCCTACCACTGTGTTAACCGCAGGAGGACTGTGCTGGGAGGTACTTACAGTGATTAAGTAAGCACCTCCACTTGGTCCAGCACTGGGCTTACTGAGTTTATACTCCAACACAAGAGAGCACTGAGGGGGGCAAGCAATGGGGGGCAGCCAAACCTTTCCATAGCCTCTGACTCTTAACCTTCATATTATGCCTGGGAGGGTGAATGGAAAGTCCTAGATTCCCTTTTGACAGATGAGGAAATAAAGCTAAATGAGCAGTTACATGGCTTGTTAGAAGCAGAGTGGAGTCTAATTACCAGTTTAGGGCTCCTGTCACTGCACCATATACCAGGCTCTGTCTTATTCCTTGGCAGAAAAATCAACATGGCCTAGCTCTCCCTTCTAAGGGGAGTCCTCACTCATTAGGCTAGAAGACTAGAAAAGACAGAAAAAAGAAACAAGTGACTGTAAGGTCACTCTAGCTCAAGCGCTTACCTTACCTCCCTCTAATTTAAAACAATCCTGACAAGTGTCAGAAAGATAGAAAAAAAATCTATAATAAATAAATAAATTTCCGACAAATGTCTCTTCTTTTCCCCCTTACCTCTCTGCTGGTATGTCAGAGGCACACTTTAGCCACAGTGGTAAGGATGCTTAATGATAGGGATCACTCGGATGAATCAGAGCTGCAATTCTAACAAGTGTTTCTGAATTTTAATGATAGTTTTGCTTCTTTTTTATGTGGTTTTGGCTTTGTGGTTTCTAAGAGTTCTTTAGATTGAAAACTTAAAATACTCACATAAACTACAGTACTTTATTCTTTGGTAAGCTTGCAACTGGGAATTTACAAATTAACTGGCCTCCAACTGCAGTCTTCGGTATAAATAAAAAAATACAAATAAGCCAGCACTGCTATAGACTAAATTCAGCCGGGAAAATATGCTTATGGCAAACACTTTGTCCCATGTTTCCTTGAGGCTGTGTGGTGAAGGAAGGAAAGAAATCAACACACCTGGTTTGCAGTCCTGACTGTGCTATCTCACCTGCTTGTGAACTCTGGGGCATGTCAGCACCTCTCCAGATCAGTATTTTCTTGTCTGTAAAATCTTATTTAAATGGAAAGACCTTAAAAGTTCCTCTCACATGAATGTTCACAGCAACATTATTCATAACAGCCCAAAACTGAAGAGATAAATGCCCATCAACTGAATGTCCAACAATAGAATCTCATTTGGCAATAAAAAGAAATAAGCTTGAAAACACAGTGGTAAGTGAAAGATGATAATCACAATTCCATAGGCCATGTATTATATGACTCTGTTTTTAAGAAATTTCCAAAATTATGGCCTCTCAAATGGTTAAAACGGTGAGCTTTATGTTATGCGAATTTTTTTTTTCAAAAAGAAAAAGATTCATTATTAACCTTTCTATTTTTATAAATGTTTAAAATTTTTCCATAATAAAAAATTTTAAAAACTGGTTTTTCTGTCCAGGAATAAGACAGAGCCTGGTGTATGGTGCAGTTACATGGCTTCTAACAAGCCATGTAACAAAGAATAAGACAGAGCCTGGTATATGGTGCAGTGACAGGAGCCCACATGTAACTGCTCATAGGTCATCTATACTTAACCTAGAGTTTACTATTGGTATAAAAGAAACATTACCACAACAACTTAATCCTCAATTGAATTATATCAGAGGGGTAGAATGCTAATCAGGGCCCACTGGGACAAGGAGAATGAAAATCATCTATTCTGGTAGATTTCAGGAACAAACCCTTAGAATCCTGTTGTGCGTTTCACCTCAGCCAAGTTCACTTTAATTCCTTGAAGCTCCTGTTCTCCTCTAGAACACTAAGAAAATGGGCTCGGTCTCTCCCAATAGTAACAGCCTATGGCCTGATACAGTATTAATGTAACGGTGTTTTTCTTTTTAAAAAGCACATAGTAGCAAATACCAATTTAAGGAAAGATTATATTTGACACATAAATGCCCATTCTTGTAGTTCCCTGCAGTTAGGAGACGGATTCGCCGTGCTCAAACTGACAGATTTAAGGATGGTTCAGAATTCTCCATCCTGAGCTAATAGCCAGCAGGCTTATGAAATCTGAAGTCAGCCAGCCTTTTCAAAATCATTGTGCTCACATTTGACACAGCGGTATCAATTTACTGCTTCCCAGGACAAGCAACTCAGAACAGCATACAAACTATTGTAGGAAATAAATGACAATCCGCAAGAAACCTTGTAAGAAAAGGTTTTTATAAGAGAGCTTATCCATAACATCATATAAGGAGTCATATCTGATAAATTACCATGTCACTAAATCCTGGCTGTATATTTTAAAGTTGAGTGTTTCAATTTCAGAGATTAAGTCTAAGCTCTTAATTGCATAGGTATTGTTTTTCAACCTCAATCTAGGAGACATATACACGTCAGCCCAACTGTGCACTAAAGGACAAGGTTTGCTGTGTGACAGAAATGAGTAAGATGTCAAATTCAGTGAAGGGCAAATCGCACAGCCACTAGGGACATGGGCAAGATCTGTAAACCCCTGGATGTATTGGGTTTTGATTTTTTTCATCTCTGAAATGGGACACTGCTACTTATACCTCATGAGGATATTGGGAGGACAATAAATCAAATATTCTCAGTGCCTAGTCCAGTCCTGGCACAGCTATCACTTCCTGGGCACTTATTCTCATTATGCCATCTCTCTATATAAGCCAACTGCCCTCAAAATTCCTCCAAGTAAACATATGGTTTAGCAAGTTAAAAAGAAACAATACCTACAACAATTATGGATAACATACCTGTTTCTAGTCGTGTAGAATACTGATATAAGAAATATAAATTGACCAAATAAAGAAATCCAGTTCCTGGACCCACAGGGAAGAAAAAGGTGGCAGTGATGGGTCTCCAAATCTGTCCAGAGCAAAATAAACACAGCTGTTAGTTTCTCTAAGCCTGTTTATTCTTATTTCTTTTAACTACACAAAATTAACTCTTGCAAGACATTCTCAATGATGAGAGCTACCAAAAAGGCACCACTGCCCTAGCCAGTTTGGCTCAGTGGACAGAATGTTGGCCTGTGGATCAAAGGGTCCCAGGTTCGATTCTGGGCATGTACCTTGATTGTAGGCTCCTCCCTGACCATAGTGTGTGCAGGAGGCAACTAATGGATGTGTTTCTCTCACATTGATGTTTCTCTCTGTCTTTCCATCTCTTTTCCACTTTCTCTAAAAGAAGAAAAAAAAATCAATGGAAAAATATCCTCAGGTGAGAATTAACAAAAACAAACAAAAAGGGACACCACCAATAGTATTCAAGAAGATGGACCTAAGGAAAGTTCTTATCAGTTACAATTACATCAGTATACAAATCAATGGAATAAAACGACATCATAAAATAAGCAATGAACAGTTCTAAGCAAGCTGAACACAAATCAATACTATAGAAGAACAGGGTTAGTTTTTACAGGGATCAAACATACAGTTAAGCCTGCCAAAAATGAATTACAAATAATTTCCAACAATATTGTAACATCTCTATTTAGGAAAATACTACTCTACTCAGGTGACAAACCTTGTCAAAAAATGTCATACTTAAAAGGTTAAAGTAAAATAAGAAAATTTTTACCCAAACCATTGTGCTATTTAGGCAAAACAGACACTTGATTTTATAATATTAATCCTCCTCCACCAGAAAAAATTAGTGGAGGTTAAGTTTCTCTCCTGTCTTAGCTTACATGTTCTCATTTCTGAGCCTCAATCACCACCATAAAAGGGGGTGATATACTAATACTTGCTGTTCTTTGACTAATGATTTCATATATATATATATATATATATATATATCTATATATATATATATATATATATATAGATATATATAGTGTGTGTGTGTGTGTGTGCTATTCTGTTCATTTACATGCATTGACTCATGAGGTGGATTTTACAGATGAGAAAAGATTAAGCAATAGCTAGCAAGTGGTAAGTCAGAATTTTGTTGCAGCCTGACCTCAGAACTTATTATGATACTAAACCTCTACTTTTACAATGCCTCTCCCAAGTGACATCACCATTCTGAGGTATATGACAATTAGATATATGATAATTGTAAACATTTTCAACACTAATATACTTACATAAAGTTGATTGTTCCTGCCCATGAAAAACACTGGGAGTAAAGATCAGAAGCAAGCAAGCCCTGGCCTTGACTCTGCGGTAGCCATGGGGCCTTGTAAAAGTCTGGACCATGGAGCTGGTGTATTCATCTACCCAATGCCATCTGTCCTGTGACTCCCACCCTCTTTGTCTCACAGACTGTGTACAAGGCTGGAATTAGCCAAGTGGATTAAGAAGAAGCTTTGTTAAAAAAAACAAAAACCTGTTTGTGTGTGAGTGAATGAAGATTACAATCTTCTAGGAGATGCACACGGATTGGGTTTTTACAAATGCACATTTTAAACTACCCCATATTTCTGTAAGTTATTAGGGGCCTGATTTTAGAAAAGAAATCTTGGTTATTTTTCTGACTACATTTTCACTAACACTGACAACACAACACTATTTTTAGCTACTGTGTGCACCTGTTCTTTGGAAATCAGTGTCTGTCAAAATACCTCACTTCTGTTCCCTGTTCATTAAGCTTACCCTTGAGTTATACATGCTTTCATTGATCTAAGAGTCTTATTATTTTTGCATTACTTTAAAATTATAATGTGAAAATACCAAGAGATAGTTTATCTCTTCGGAAGGACACAGCATAATACAGAATTTCTGAAATCCCCAAGGAAAGTACCCAACTAAACCCCCTCCTTTTCTCTAACTGATATGCAAACCATTATAATAAGGAAAAGGCCTTATTTTCTGGGTTGGGGGTGAGGGAGTTAGGTCTTCAACCCCGAAAGTCTACATGGATCCCTTTACAGGCATCAGGTGCAGGCAAAGAGCCCACAACTTGAAGGCAGAGGCCTGTGTGGCTCATGTGCCTGAAGCTTTGGAGGGGAGCATCTCATTATAAACCCACCGTCATCCAAGGCCAGAACCACAATCGCCCAGCTTTTCCATAGGAAAGCCAGCCCCTCATTAGAGTTTAGGTAATCCGCCCAGTTGCTCACTTAACCTGTTCCCTGGCATATCAGACCTTCAAAAAAACCACAACACTGTTCTTTAGTTTAGTCCAACAAGCTCTGTTGAGAGAATGTTTATTTCAGCCATACTTGTCCTAAAATCTCCCAAACGATCTGCCACTGAAATAATCACAATTGCCATCCAGAATCTTTAAAAACTATCAAAAACAGTTTTTTTTTCCTCTGAATCAATAAGGATTGGTTGATTTGTGTTAAAGTCTGATTGGGTCACCAAGCAATTCAGAAAGAAGAGCACCCATATGCCAAATGCTGATATTAGCAAATTGTGGCTTTTTATTTTTTTTATTTTTTGACTAGGTTTGGAAGAAAAACAAATGAAAGAGCTATTAAAAGCACCAATTCTACTTAGGATACCTATGTTCATCGAGTTATGTACCAGAATGTTCCCAGCAGCACTAATGTTCCCAAAGCTAGAAACCACCCAAAAAGTTCAATACGGGTAGAATGGGTAAATAAACAATGGTCTATTCCCAGGATAGAACAATCTGGAGATAAGCAATCTATAGCCATAATCAACAATATGGGAGACTCTAAAATGTACTATCAAAAAGATGATAGTTGCCGAAACCGGTTTGGCTCAGTGGTAGAGTGTCGATCTGCGGACTGAAAGGTCTCGGGTTCGATTCCGGTCAAGGGCATGTATGTTGGTTGCGGGCACATCCCCGGTGGGGGGGGGGGTGCAGGAGGCGGCTGGTCGATGTTTCTCTCTCATTGACATTTCTGGCTCTCTATCTCTCTCCCTTCCTTTCTGTAAAAAATCAATAAAATATATTAAATAAAAAAAAAAGATGATAGTTACTGAGCTATATACAGATGTCAAATCATAATGTTTCACGCCTGAAACTTATACAATGTTATAAACTAATGTCACCTCAATAATGAATGAATAAATGCAGAGACATATTTCAAATCCTGAGGTTGGAAATAGAACAAGGAAGTTTGCTACCTTTCCTTCTATTAGACATTGTACTGGAAATTATAGCCAGTGCACTGCAAGAAAAAATAAAATAAAGGTATAAGCTTGGAAAAGAAGAACGGCTAGATACAAAAGAATACATACTGTATAATTTCACTTAGAGCATGTAAAAAAAAAAAAAAAACTGGCAAAAACAACCTCTGGTATTAAAAACCAAGATACTAGCTACCCCTGGAGGAGGTAGTGGCCAGAGGGAGCAGTAGGAACACTTTGGGGGTGCTGGCTACATACATGTATTTGGTTTTTGAAAATTCAACAAGCTGTAAATATATAACACATATACTGTACTTTCCTATTTGTATACTATAACTCAATAAAAATTTAAAAATCAAAGCTATGGTCTAAGAGACAACTTATCTATGTAGAACTGTCTAATGTAGACCGACTGCTAAGGAAAGATTGGAAAGCTATACTACATAACAAAACACCTGCCACTCAAGTTCTGATCCAAACCCTAGGGCTACTTCTCTGCTCAGCCTACAGACCAAGTTACTGTCCTTCTGGTTATGTGTGTGCTTGTCTTTCTTTCCAGGTTCAGTCATAAATCAAGCAGCTAGGCTTGCTGTCAGGGGTTGGCAAATATGGGCACCAGATCAAATCACAGGTCTGACTGGTGCTATTATTATTCTTGGCAACAAATTGAGAGTTCCTAATAAATAAAAATGGCACTATTTCTAAATAGTTTACTTAGCAGACTTTTACTGGGATCTTTGCAAACAGTTTTCTTTGTTTCATGTAATAGAGGTATAAAATAGATAACATTTTCTCAACTTAAACATATCATTTTTGTATTTCTGAAATCAGGATATATCTATCAATATATTCATTAAATGTAATATCTACTTTCCTCTTCCTTCAAAAGTTGTATTAAATGAATGGAGCATCTTATAATCAATGGAATTAGAAAAGAGTAAATCCTTAGGGCAGAGTTAATCTGGTACTAAATTATCCCTAGTTTTAGGTAATGTTTTGTTTTTGACCTGGGTGCTGGTTATATACACATACTCAGTAATTAAGAAATTTAGGCTCAGGAAGGGTACATAATTTGCCTAAGAGCATTCAACCAGTCAGGCCCAAAGACCATGACTCAGCTACTTGAAATCCCATAGTCTTTCTACACCAACGGAAAAAGACAAAGAATTTGATATGACTGATTGGGAAGGAATCACTCTCAATACTGTCAACATTTACCTGTGTTTTGGTAGAGATTATGCAAATGAGTTAAACAAGAGCTCAGATCAACTCACCGAAACAGAAACAGAAACTGGAGGTGTCTATAAACTGGGCTAACTCATATCTCAGGGTGACTGTGGGGGCTCAATGAGATAATATATGGAGAAGCACAATACAGATAGAAGAGGGTAATGTTATTCTGTCCAAAGAAATAAACTATCACTGTGGAGGAAGCCCCAGGAAACGTAATCTCAGAAACCACTAGAGCAACAAGAAATTGCCACCTTTCTACTAGCTAATCAGGGATCAATATGAAGGCATTTGATCAAAGTGAACAATCTGATTGTCAGGTGTTAAGTGTGAGGGACTAGGAACTGTAGGCAACAGCAAAGTGAGTCTTAAACACATCTATCCAAACTAAATCAATCATCCCCATCCTTATTTGAAGCTGTTAAAAATCCAGCTTCTAAGGAAAAGATGAGCCTCAAGCAGAAAGCACACCACATGCTGTTTGTCCTCACACCTCAGCTCTCATTTGCAAACAAGTTCCTTCAGGAGGAGATGAAAGCTAAACTTGTCCAGAATGGGTAAGAGCCCTGGCTGTTTTGGCTCAGTGGGTAGTGTATCAGTCTATGGACTGAAGGGTCCCCTTTCAATTCTGGTCTAGGGCACATCACAGCAGGAACAAAGAGGATTGGTCCTTTCACACCAGTCAGTGCACTGTTCTGCTTCCTGCCAGCAGCTTCTCCCAGGCTCAAGATAAACACTCAAGAAGCAAGGCAAGGCAGGAATATGGGGAACACACGGAAGGTGTGACATGAATGACTTTCTAATCAGTTTGCCTTTTTTAACATTATGGGCCTGTGGTCGACTAGAAAGGCTTTATCTTACTAATCTGACTAAACAAGTGAGCAAGCTTTTGCAAGGAGAGTCCAGAGCCAGTTTTGACCAGGTCTTACCCACAAAATGATTGATAGCCACTTCTCCTTTTGTACACACATCACCCAACATGCCACCAGGCATGAAGTGTACAACATTGTTCAATCAGTCGACAAATATGTACCAAAGCAAATAAGTAGAAAGCAGTATGCAGTTCTGGCTGCAGACCCAAATCATATTCTAATAGCCAACTGCCTACTTAACTTCTCTACTTGGATGCCTAAAAAGTATCTCTAGACTTAACATGGCCAAAACATAAACCTTTTTTTTAACCACTGAGAAAATTAAGTTTTTATTTAGGATAATAATAATAATAAATCCCCTACATGTTAATATAAAGAACAATTTTTATGAAAACTATTTTTCAAAAAAGTAAAATTATTAAGTGACATTTTATACTACAACTCTCCTTAATGTCTGGCTTCATAGAAGATAACCAGATTATCACATCTTCTCCATTCAACCTGTTGCAATATATTGTTTTGGTTGAGAGATAAGAAAACCTGACCTCACACAGATCTGTAGTTGAAAAGGGAAATTTTTAATTGTTTTTTTTCATCAAATTCAAAAGATAACTCTTCACCCAGAACTTCCCTCATCCCCAAACTAAGCTCCCTAAATATTTCCACTCCTATAATGTATAATAAAGATGTAATATGCAAATTGACCATCACTCTAACACACAAGATGACCGCTCCAATATGGTCAAAGATCCTGCCCCCATGTGAGCACAAGATGCCAGCGGGGGAGGACAGTTATGGGCAATCAGGCCAGCGGGGGAGGACAGTTGGGGGCAATTAGGCTGGCAGGGGAGAGCAGTTAGGGTTGATCAGGCTGGTAAAGGAGGGCAGTTAGGGACAACCAGGCTTGCAGGGGTGGGTAGTTGGGAGCAACCAGGCCTGCAGGGGACAGCAGTTGAGGGGGGACCAGGCCTGAAAGGGAGGGCAGTTGGGAAGATAGGCCTGCAGGGAGGGAGGTTGGGGGTGACCAGGCCTACAGGGAAGAACAGTTAGGGACAACTAGGCCGGCAGGGGAAGGCAGTTAGGGGCAACTGGGCCGACAGGGAAGCAGTTAGGCGTCGATCAGGCTGGCAGGGGAGTGGTTAGGGGGTGATCAAGCAGGCAGGCAGAAGTGGTTAGGGGCAATCAGGCAGGTAAGCAGTTGGGAGCCAGCAATCCTGGATTGTGAAAGGGATGTCTGACTGTCTATTTAGGCCTGATTCCAACAGAAATCTGAGGGGTGCCAGATTGGAGAGGGTGCAGGCTGGGCTGAGGGACACCTCACCCCAACACACAAATTTCATGCACCCAACCTCTAGTTTCAGTATAAGTCTCCACCTCCCACTATGAAAACAGTGACATCTTAGAGTTCTGCTTCCTTCACCCATTCACCCTTCATATCCATTCAGCTGCAATACTGTCCAACTCACAAATTCATTCATTTTTCTCTATCGTCACAGCTATCCTGGTCCAAAACACCACCTCTCTTCTTAACTTGGTTCTTTCCTCTCCCACACTCACATAGCAAGTCCGGCTCACATAGTCAAGGCGATCATGTCACTCCTTTGTTCCATGGCTCTAAAGCCTTGTGGGTGTCTTCAAAACAAAGTTCAAACCACAAGGTCCCATACGATCTAGCCCCAGCCTACCTTTCCATTCTCGTGTTATTGCACTAACCCTGCTATCTCTGTCCTCATCTTTAATCCTCATCCTTACGGCTGACTTCGTATTAACTATCCAGTCTTCTTTCTGTTTCTGCCTCTAAGCTCACTATTATTCCGTCTTCCTAGAAGATTGTTCCCAGAGCCAGAGCTTCCCAAAGCTGGCTCCTCACCATTCCGATTTCAGTGCAGATATCTTTTTTGAGGTTTTTCTGGAGCACTCTATCAAATGATCCACCCCGTATGTCACTCTCTAGCACATGCCTCTCATTTTCTTCATGGGAACTGCAACTTTTTCTGTCTTATTCACAATTGTACCTCCAGAGCTCAATAATGTCCATGCAAGCACCTGCTTGCTATGTGACAGGCACTATTCTAAGTAAAAAAAAAAAAAAAAAAAAAGGTAGTGTTAAACAAGACCGATATTTCATGAGCCTTATTTTCTGATGGTAAGTGAACTAACAAAATGCCAAGAGGTGATATGCACAAAAAATATTAAGGGTAAGCAACACAAAGTAAAGAAGGGCAATCAGATAAGGCTTTGCCAAAAAAGGTGGCATTTGGGCAAACACTTGAAGGTGGTAAGGAGGAAAGCCATGGTAATCTCTCTCAAGCAGAAACAAAGTGTGCAAACAGCCTGGGACAGAGATCGAGTTAGCTACTTAAGAAACAGCTAGGATTCCTTTGAGGACCCTAATGTGCAAAATGGAGAGTAGGAGGATTTGAGGTCACATAGGTGGTAGAGGCAATGCAGGACACTGAAAGGACTTGATTTCACTCATCAAGTTGAAAAAACACTGGAAGGTTCTGGGCAGAGGACTGACAGGACTTCATTTATGTTTTAGAAGAATCACTCCAGCTATCTAGAGAAAAGATTGAAAGGAACTGGCTGGAATGGTAATGGTTGCAACGAAAAATGAATATGTCTAAAGTAAACAGAATCTGTTGACAGACTGAAGAGTGTGAGAAAAAGAGAAATCAAAGATGATTCTGTGATTGTTAGCCTGAGCTCCTGTAATAATGGCATTCTATTTATTTACAGGGCAAAGGGGGAAAGGGCTTCAGTTTGGACATATTACGATTAAGATACTTATCAGTCTCTCAAATAGTAATTTAAATAGATGGCTGGATGTACAAGTCTGGACATCTGGAGACAGATCTGGACTTAAAATGGCTATGTTTGTATTATACAAAGTATTTAAAGCCATGAAGCTAAATGAGATCACCTACAGCTGGGAAGAGGTCCTATACCTGCTCCCTGGGGCTCATCACAACATCGAAATGTCACAAAGATGAGGAACCAGCAAAGAAGACTAAGAAATAGCCAGTGAAGAGGGGGTTCAACAAAAGTATTATCCACAGGCCAAGTAACATGTTGAAATTAATGTCAGATCCTAATATCTGACCTGCCACTGGTTAAAGATTTAAATCACAGAATCCAGTGAGTAAAGACAATCTCCAGGAAATAGTCTCTTGCCAGCAATGTTATTCTGGACTGCTTACTTTGGGCTTAAAAAAAAATAACATTAGAATAAAATTATTCTACTTCTGGAATAATTAACTCCTTACTCATTCCTTTGCATATTCAAACACTACATGCCAGATACTAGGTCAGGGCATGAAAAAGCAGATAGATAAACTCAGTCTCTCTGCACCTCTGACCTCAAATTACTGCTACAAGAAAGCAAAAACAAAAACAAAAGACCCACTTCGTTAACATAAAAAGAACTCAGATGGATGTTGGGTAAGGTGACAGTCACAACCACCCACGTAGTAAAGCAAGGTCAGAGGGCACCTGCTCTCAGGTAAAACCCACGCTGTTAATCACCAGCGTCCAGCAGATTGACAATTATCACAAACCTCCCTTCCCACTGCCTCCTTCTCTGACTGCAGAGTGCGGGGAGCACAATCTTAATAGAAGGACGAAATCAGCCCCTTAGCCGGACCAAATCCAAGCCTCCATGCCTCAGGTATCCAGGCCCTTGCTCCAGACCCCTTTGCCTCCCCTTAGCCCCCCACTATCCTAGGACCCCGCCCTAAAACCGCTGGAGTAGTCGCACTACAAATCCCAGGAGGCATCGCGCACTCGTAACCTGTGGGACTACGCTCTGCCGCCTTCGACCCGCCTGGGACCTGTAGTCTCCACTCCCCTGGTCGCCGGTCAGTACCTGGAAGCGGTAGAGAAAGGCTTCGGGCCAGAGGACGAAGTAGGCCGGGCTGATGAGACCGAGTTTGCCAATCAAGGGCACCGCGACGGTGGCGGCGAACCAGTAGCGCGTGATGGCCGGGATGCTCCTGAACCAGTCCCCGATGTCCGACATCTTCGCCCCTCAGGTAGCCAGGATGCGCCCAGCCGCCCGACTCCCCGTCCCCGCGGCGCCTTCTCGACGCGGCCGGCTCCGAGGGTGGAAGGTGTCGAGGCGGAAGCCGCCCGGGTCGCGGTGCAGAAGGCGGAGACCGACGGACGTGGCGCCACCGAATTCGGACGGGCGAGGGGAGCGTTCGGAGGCGAAACTTCCCCTTCCGGCGGCCCCAGACGACGTCGACCGGAAGTCCCGCCGCTTAAAGGGCAAGTACCGTTTTTTACCAGCAGGCCAAAGCTCGACTGTCTGGGCGGGGCGAGGAGATAAGGGGTGGGGCCATGGGGGATGTTGACACGACTCCTGGAAAACAGTAGTTGCCATGAGCAACGGCTAATACTCCAGCCAATGGCAATACCGATCCTCCTCTACCTCGATCTTGGTAATTCATAGGTCCACTCGGAGGGCGTTTAAAGGGGAAGGAGGAAAATAAAGCGTTTGTTCATTCGTTCAGCAAACGTTTGCTGAGGGCTTGCACAGTGCGGGGAGGAATCCAGACACCGGAGATGCTGTGGCCGTGGTTCCTTCGCTCCTGGTGCTTACATTCTAATGGGGTTAGAAAGATAAACAATTGAATAAGGTAATTTCAGAGAGCAATAAGAAAGTATGGAGCCGAAACCGGTTTGGCTCAGTGGATAGAGTGCCAGCCTGCGAAATGAAAGGTCCCAGATTCGATTCCGGTGGTCAAGGGCATGTACCTTGGTTGCGGGCACATCCCCAGGGAGGGGTGTGCAGGAGGCAGCTGATCGATGTTTCTAACTCTCTATCCTTCTCCCTTACTCTCTGTAAAAAATCAGTAAAATATATATATATATTTTTTTTTTAAAAAAAGAAAGTATGGAAAAGAAAAGTGGATGGTAGGGTACAGTGATGAGATGGAAGCGGAGGGATGTGGAAGGGAGATGAGAATGGTCAGGGCATACTTTTCGGAGGAGGTGATGTTTGAGCTGAGCCAGCCCCGCACCCGAAGACAAAGACCTGGAGAGTTTTCCATGCAGAGAAAACAGCCACTCCAACTTAGAGTGTGGACGGAACTTAAAACAGAAATGATCTTGACTGTTACTCTAGTTCAGCGATTTTCAACCTGTGTGCCACAAGAGTTTTTTTAAACATGCATATTCCCTATTGTTTTTCTTTAAAAAAAAAAAAAAAAGTTTTTTTAAACATGCATATTCCCTATTGTTTTTCTTAAAAAATTAGCAGCAATTTTTTAAGAAAGAAAGAAAGAAAGAAAGAAAAAAGACTTTTTTTAAAAAATGGAGAAAAACCAGCATTCAGGGGCACAGCATTACTTAGCACTGAGCTTGACACTGCACTGCTGAGTGATGCTGACAGGGGGCTGATGACTCAAATACCATTCTGTCACAATAATCATATAGGAGCACCATCCTATTGGGATGCCTGCTACGTATGTGGCATCTTTCTTCAAGAAATCCAAAGCACATTGCAAAAATGTAACTAATGCTTATGCTAAGTAGTAGGTAGCTTTATTAGCACCATCTTGCAGATGAAGAAACTGTAGCAAGTTTATTTCTGTCAAGAACCAGTCAGTTATAAGCCTTGGAAATTATTTATTTTAGCAGCAATTTTTTAAAAATATGTTCTTATTGATTTTTCAGAGGGAGAGGAAGGGGGAGAGAGAGAGATATATCAATTGGCTACATCCTGCATTCCATCTACTTGAAATCGATCCTGCAGCCTGGGCATGTGCCCTGACTAGGAATCTGTGCATAGGATGACACTCAACCAACTGAGCCACAACTTCAGGGCAAACTTGGGAATTTTTTTAAATGTTGGCACACTGGCCTGGGGGACAAGAGGGTTACTAAACAGCATCTAAAGCATTTTTCATTTGTTATTCTGATGTGGGTACATGTGTGTGTAAAAAATAAAATTCATGCATAAGTGTGTGTGTGTGTGTGTGTGTGTGTGTGTGTGTACTAAATAAAGATAGCCTTCAACATGCTGTGAAGGAATCAGTCTGGATTTCAGTCCTGCCTCTGTCCTTTGCTGATTATGTGACCACGAGCAAGTCACTAACCTCCTAGCTGATTCATCCCAGTGGGAAAATAGTATTACCTGCTGCCCATATCACCTTGTTTGTTTGAGTTGAGAGCCTGCTGTTTACCAAGCTCTGTGCTTGTGCTTTTCATGCATCATCTCATTTAATGTTCACATTAACAACCCCATTGGTAGGGGCTATTTTTATGGAAACTGAGAAACAGAGATTAATTTACCCAAGGTCACATGACTCTTAAGCGGTGATTCAATCTAAGTCAGTCTGACTTTGAGACCCAGCTTTGAACCAATCTGCTTTACTTCTGTGATAAATATGAAGGCCCTTTAAAAACTCCAAAGCATCCCATAGGCACAAGTTTTATCTGCTAATCCACACATGGGAGGAACTCAGTGTTTCATATATGAGTAAACTAGGCTGATCAGAGATTAGTAGGATGTATTTGGAAGAAATAATCCTTTTAATATCAAGCTTCTCTGAACTAACAAATCTGAAAACCGAAATCATCAGAATAACCATAATCTAACCTATAATTATTGCTATTCATAATTCATATTCATCAACTCATCGTTGACATTTAGAATCAGAACAGTGCTGAATGATGTTCAAGATATGCCCTGAGGAAGGCCTGCAAGGATCTGAAATGCCTTCCTCTACATTAAAAGAAATAACTGTTCTAGCTAATGTCTGTGTAGAATGTTGTATTAAATGTAGGATTTTTATCAGTTGGCCTTGGACCCAAGTGATCACCCATGGTGTAGACATCCTACTAAAATTAAGGCACAGGCATAGGCTTTCTAAAGGATTAAAAACAAAAACAACCAAGACCAAAGAACAAACATTAATAACAAAGTGAAAAGCAGCTAACACACATGCACAGGGGGCCAGTCAGTGGTGGTCCCATCACCTAACACACCTCCCACATGTTCACACCTACTTCCTTACACAGAATTCATTCTCTGAAGGGTTAAGCAGATGGGACCAGTTTCTGGGTACTATTTCACTAACAAAGACAACACACTTCTAAGGTCTGTAGATGAAATAGACAATCCAGTGTGCACACACTATCTATCTTTCTCTTTCCTCATATAGAAAATTGCAGCATTTTTCAAAGCCATCAATCTAATGAAAACAACAAAAATACTGGGTAAGGAAGAGCAGAGAAGGAGTGAATACAACAGAGGATTTTTAGAGCAGTGAAAATACCCCATATATGATACATGTCATTATACTTTTACATGTCATTATACTTTTGCCCAAACCAACAGAATGTATAATACCAAGAATGAATCCTAATGTAAACTATAGTCTCTGAGTGATAATCCTGTGTCAATGTAGGTTTATCAGTCGTTAATAGAGGTACCATGGGTGGAGTATGTTGATAATGGTGGAGGTTGTGTTTGTTGGGAGATAGGAGGTAGGTGGGAAATTTATATACCTTCTTCTTAATTTTCCTGTGGACTAAAATTGCTCTTAAAAAACAGTCTTTTTAAAAAATAAAATGCTTAGGAAAGACTGCTTCTACTGTCGAGTAAAGCCACATAGAAATCAGGAGGGACTGAAGAGCCCAGAGAGACATGAGGAAGTTCTGCAGAGAGGGGTCAGCTAGGTGCCATTTCCTGCTGGTCTTCCTCACTCAGCTCCGTGCCTCTTCTCCAGACACTGCCCAGAGCAGCCCCGGAGGAAGGATGCCACGCTGCCCTAGAATATTTTAGTGGACAATAAATGCTTAGTCACCCAGCTTGCCTGCCTCCCTGACAGCAATTAGAGGCATTTATTCCCGGTGTACCGGCATCCTGGCATTCTGGATGGATAGCCTGTCCTCTCAGCCCACATATGCTATTCGGAGCCTGTGATCAGGCTAATTTATTCAGTGCTGTGCGACATATTCCCAGCATCCTCTGACTCCACAGCCCTCTGCCCAGGAAGGCCTTTGGAAAAAGCCACTACCTACAGAGCATAATTTTGAAGATTTAGCCTCCCAATGGAAGCCTTTCGAACTGGTTCATCCTAGCACACTTAGATATTTACTTCTCTGGCATCAAGTTTGCGAATAAATTTTAAAAACCCAGCTTCCCACAATAGGGGAATTATAAAATTATGGCTTAACCACAAAAGGGGATATTATGCAGTTGTGGCTAAGGCAGAGGTGGCTCTAGGCTGAGCTTGCTTCTTAGGACAGCTTTGGACATGGCAGAGGCCATCGATTCCACACCTGCGTCCTTCCCGGGCCACGTGGAAGGGCTGGAAAGATTGGAAGCTTGCAGCCACTTCCCATTCGGCCACGAAGTCTTCTCCTTCCTTTCGTCTGGCAGAGGCTTTTTAGATACTCTCGTCTATGGCAGCACTTTCTCATCGCAGGTGGGAACGATCTTACTGCCCATCGAGTTGAGCATCACATTCCCCCACCACCACCCTCCTTTGATACTGTCCCATTTCCGCTGTAGGTGCCACATCCTTCTGATTGCACATAAAACATTCCCCGTCGTTGGCTTCATGCATGTTTTATGAGAACAGCTGGGTGTGAGTATTTACATAAGCCACTAGGATCACATCTCTTTGATTTTCCTCTTCTGTCCTGTCTTGTATTAAAAGGGTGGGGGGAGATGCGCTATGCCATAGTTCCCCTGTCGTGCCCTTTGCTTCCTAAGCTCTTCGTACAAATAGCCAAGTCTTCTAGGAAATGGAAAAGGTTGCCTGGGTTTCATCAGTCGGCAGCCTGACACTCATTTCGGATTTACTGATGAAACAGGACTCCTTCCCGTGTAATGGCAGCTTTCCTACATATGTCAACGCAGCCTGGGCATCAGCAGTTGCCTGTTTGAACTCCTTCCACGGTGGCGGACTTGGTCACCTCTTAATCCCTTTTTGTCTCAAATGGAACAGCTCCCACCCTCTTTCTGCCTCAAATGTCAAGCTCTTCTAAGGGATCTTTCTACTGTAG